CGTAACTTGTCGACTACCTCTGCCGCTGATACAATCGACGCCATGTCTGCTGGTGCTGTGCCAACATAAGGGTGGATCAGAATATTGAGAAAGAGTGACATTGCCGCCACAATCGGATATATTGTGGTATGCCTAAGTATCGCGTTCGCGAATTAGATGCAAGCTCTGGCCGGATAGGGTTTGGCGTTCATTGACTCACCAGAAAGTATCATACTTGACCATTGCTATGGGCTCTTTCAACAGACGCAGAGTTGAGCGGCTGGCCTCCAGGGACAAGTCGACGCTCGAATGCATGGCCCTGTGGAGCTCTTCGGGAAGAATGGTGTTTATGCCTTGAGTAGCTCCGAATCTCCTGACTGGCGTGTGAATGATGGTCAAAAGCAAGTGGTATTCCAACTGTAGCTGGACCGATCTCAGGTAGCTTGGGAATGTGTGATTCCAGATTACGCCTTGACTCGGGACCATTGACAACTTGGGGCGAAGCGCCGCGGGGACAGTCAACCGCCAGCTCTCAAGCTCAGAATCCAGCTGGCGAATGCGAGTGAGAAGCTCGCTGTCAATGATATCCCGCTCAGAATACGAGTATAGTAGCTCGTAGATCTTCTCCTTCAGCAGCCCAAGATGCGGATCGCCGGGCAGGAAAGAAAGAACTCGGTCCCAAACATAGGGTCCCATGGCCTCAACATCCGCAGTGTCGGCAGGCAGTTGTAGAAAGGCATCATGATTGAGATATCTCTCGGGGTCGCTCAGATCATAGTACTTGCTGGTGAATCTTATACGTGCTAGCTCAGACGGGAAAGTGAGGTCGTGCTGTTGCGTATAGCACAGCCAAAATAGCTTCCGCAAATGGTTTTGACGGCGCTCAAGGGGTGACGGCTCAGCATTGCTTCCGTGATCCATTGGACGATGGAGATGGCCTTCGAGTTGTTCAATCCCCCCGAGGGCGCCTGATATCATGGCTGAGGCAGTCTCATGCTGGCCAATAGCCATTCGGTATTTGTACTGCCGTCGCAGTTAGTCAAATCTCAAGGTCGCCGTATCAATGGCACAAACGGGTAGACGAGCTCAGCTTACCAAAAGAAAGTACGCTTGAACAAGTTGTATATCCGTCGGGTTGCCTTTGTCGACATGGAGTTCCAGAAAGTATTGCGCCCTTTTCGCGCACACCTCACGCTTTTCCGACACAAGGAGGCAGTCAGACCATCTGAAAAGAGCCACAATGGCAAAGGTCGCCCACAGACATGCCCTAGCTGAGAAGGTCTCCGGGTGATCCTGTGGAAGTTTGTACTTGTAGACAATGTCAATGGTCTCCTCGAATAGCACTTTGTCGAGAGCCGGAAACAGAATTTGAAAGGGAGCGCCCGAGAGAGATGCCAACCACTTGTGCACTGAGTTCCTATCAGGCAGGGTCAAGACCGCCGTAAGATGATCAGATATTGGTTGAAACCCACACAACACGTAGGAGCTTTCCTTTGACAAGCAATAAGAACTTAGTGTTGCAGTATCCGTACGAGTCATGGTAGCAATCCATTTCATGCCAATCTCGGAAACAATGGGAAACCCTCTGTGGTACCAGTTCCGTCCGAAGAGGTGGCTTGCGGTGCGAATATACGGATGGACACCGTGGTCTTCACAGGACGGCTCCTTTGTTTTCCCACGAAAGGCATTGTCGTGGGTCGCGCAGGGCCTTGATTCGAGATGGCGTGGGACTTGGGTAACATCTTGATACGGCGGTATATGCCTCTTGCCTAGCGCCTGCTCAAGTTGTCTGATTCGATCCAGCAGCCTGTTTTCTCTATTGTTTCTGTTTCACATGTCAATAATGACAAAAGGGGTGTACACCTTCGAAGTTCCAGTACCTTTTCTTGGACCTTGTTGTGTTTTCCCTGGAAACTGTGCAAGTGAGATCGTGATGACCGCACCAGTTGCAGGGTAGGCGAGGATCAGGGCGAAGACACTGGATCTAAGGGAACAAGTCGGTCAGACTGTATGTGGCTACAGGAGCCTTGCGCATGTTACAAGCGACTTACCTTTTGCTTGAAGCATGTATCGCAAGCCCTCAGTGGAGGCATGACGACCACAAGATCCAACGATCAGACCACCGCAGCGCACGAGTCGATGAGAATCGACCAATGCGAGGTTGACGATGTCAAGATCAGGGGCAGAGAAGGGAATGAGTAATCGGAGAAGATGGAATATTCTCCGATTACATAAGGCGATCTTGCCTATTTAGGTCCGTCGCCCTGCATGAGCTCCGCCATCTGGCGAATCAACTCACACCAACGCTCAACGCATTTATGGGGCATCTTGGAAGCTCTTGGCAGAGCCATGAGTTCCAGAAGCAATTACGTTTTTGTATGTAGACGGGACTCATTCAGAATATATATAGCTGTATTGAACGAACGGAGCCGTTGAATTTGACTCTTAGAAGATTATAGTATGATTCTGTCTTCATTCCGCCCCCATTCATGCAGCTTGCACCATGACATCCGTTGAAGAGCGCACCCCTTTACTGGGCGAAGATGGCACATACCACGATGGGCACGTCCCGGCGTCAGTCGCCCGTCGACTCTATGTCTCGCACTTTTTGTCCACTTGGAATTCCAGAGTCTTCGAATTCGGGGCGGTGCTCTACATGGCAGTTGTCTTCCCCGGGACGTTGCTGCCCATGTCCCTGTATGCTTTCGTGCGTGGGCTGTCTGCCATCATCTTGGCCCCGGCAGTTGGGTGGTACATTGACACCGGGAACCGGCTTCAAGTCGTCCGTGTCTCCATTGGTGAGCTCAAATCCAATGACTAGAATGCTTGATGTCTATATGCAATTCGAGTTCTAATACACAGTAGTTTTTCAGAGGCTGGTCGTCGCAGCATCGTGCGCCATCTTCTATGCGTTAGCGGTCGATCTCCCACTCGGCTCCGGTGTAAGAGCAGGGCTACTCGCGGCAGTCACAATCTTAGCCTGCGTCGAGAAGCTATGCTCGATATTAAACATGGTCTCCGTTGAGAAAGATTGGGTACGCCAACTATTGCTTTCCCACCAATCCATGCCAAAACTCTGCTGATGCAGTTGTCGCGTAGGTTGTGGTTGTATCACAAAGAGACTCGGAAGCGCTTCGAACCATGAATGCTCAGATGCGGCGGATCGACCTCCTCTGCAAGTTGTTTGGGCCCCTGTTCATCGCCATGGTGGACGCTCGATCCTCACGGGTGGCAATCATTATCAATTTTGGAATGAATGCTGCGTCTCTCCCCATCGAGTATCTGGCCATCGCTCGAGTCTACTACCAGATTCCCGAGCTGCAAGTGGCAAAGACGCAGTCGCAGCGCAGCACTGCACCACAAGCAGAGTCGCCCCATGCGACCAAGTCTCCAGTCAGTAGTGCTTGGAAATCAATGGTTGGAATGGTTCGACAGTCTGCACGGGACTTTTCCATATACTTTAAGCATCGAGCCTTTCTCCCGTCCATGGCCGGCGCCATTCTATACCTCACGGTTCTGAGCTTTGGAGGTCAGATGGTTACATATCTCCTTTCTTCGGGCTATTCATCCATGCAGGTCGGCATTGCGAGGACCTTTGGTGTGATACTCGAAGTCCTGTCCACATGGGCGGCACCTTGGCTGATGGGACGGATCGGGGCGATAAGAGCCGGTCTTTGGATGAGTAGCTGGCAAGTCGTGAACTTGGCCGCGGGAGTCACCATCTTCTGGATATTTCAGGGAAAAGACCCCATCGTTTCAGCAAGCGGGCTGGTTGGGGGTACGGTCCTGAGCCGTCTGGGGCTGCGAGGATTCGACTTGTGTGTGCAGCTTATTGTTCAGGAGGTAAGCGAGGCACGCAGTACATACTGTATCGTCTCCGTCATCACTAACAGCATCACCAGGAGGTCGAAGCCGAACACCGCGGCGTCTTTTCGTCCGTCGAAGCGGCCTGGCAGAATGCCTTTGAGCTCCT